AGATAGCACAGGAATTCAATGGAGGGGATACCCAGCTGGCACTTAGAGCATTTTAATGCAAGCCAGCGTCCCTAAAACGGGTTAGCACCGCCCTAAGAGTTTTGACAAGTCCTGATTGGTTGGCGGCGGCAATCAGGACATCGTCAAAATAGGGAACTAGTCCTGGGATGCCATGGAGCACCCGCTCCATGAGTCCCTGAAAAATGCCAGGAGCCACGCTGACCCCAAATTGCAGGTGGCGGCAGCCGCAGTGGGTCACGATGGTCTGGGCAATAGCAGAGGCCTTGTCGACAGGCAACTGCTGGTATGCTTGGGCCAGGTCCAACTTCGCAAAAAGTTTGCTCTGGCCCTAGGAGTGCAACACGTGTTGCATGACTGGCACAGGATGGGGTGCGCTTGTAGGGCCTTATTGACGGTTGCATTATAGTCCGCGCAGATCTTCAGGGATCCGTCAGACTTCAAAGGCAACATGATGGGGGTCTCCCACGGGGAGTGATCCACGGGCTCCAAAATGCCCTGTGAGATCAGTTTATCAAGCTCCACATCAATCCAAGCCTGAAGGGAAAAAGGAACCCGTTGCGCCTTAAGGCGGATGGGCGCCACCAGAGGGTCCAGATTAAGGGAGATGGGGTTGCCCTTGTAGCAGCCCAGCGCGTCCGAGAAGACATCATCGAATTCAGATAGGAGGGAGTCTAGGGATGTGGCGAGGTGTAAGGAATTAATGCCAGCAATGCTAAGGCCAAAAGCCCTGAACCAGTCGAGCCCCAGAAGGGAAGCAAGGGGACTGCAGACTACTACAAGGGGCAAGGAATCCTTAACCCGCCCATACTGGACTGGGAATGTCCCACAACCCAGGATGGGAATAGGGTTGCCCTGGTAGTCCCTCAAGAGGCAGGTAGCAGGGGACAGCTGGCTCGGCGTGAGATGCGGCAGCAAGGCATGAAGTGTGTCCCAGGACATGATCATGCGGGTTGAGCCAGTGTCCAGTTCCATGTGGCAGGGGCGGCTGGCGAGTAAGACGCGGAGGTGCATCTTACCCTGGCCCCCGAAAGCGAAAGTCATACACGGCCGATTTCAAACTTAACGTAGTAACACGTGCTGAAGCAACCAGCAACAGATCTGCTGCCCGAGAATT